TGGTCCCTCGGAGTGGCGCAGAAGCAGAATACAGAGCACTGGCACTTGGAATCTGTGAAGGAATGTGGATCAAAAGATTTCTCAAGGAGCTTGGAATTATGGGAGAAGATTTTATCAAGATGTTCTGTGACAATCAAGCTACAATCAGTATCGCAATGAATCCTGTTCATCATGACCGAACGAAACACATTGAGATTGATAGAAACTTCATTTCAGATAAGGTGGACAATGAAATCATTGAAGTGGTTTATACTCTTTCTAGAGACCAAATCGCAGACATTCTCACAAAGGCTCTCCCTATGTCCAGTTTTGATGAGCTAACCAACAAGTTGGGCATGTACAATCTGTACAACCAACCTTGAGGGGGAGTGTGGAAATATGCTCATTATTATTTACTTTATTCTATTTAGTACTTGTTATATTTTGTCATCGTATAGAAAAGGTAATTCCTTAATTATAGGTATTTATGTTTATTCCATAATTATAGGAATTACTTAATTGTAGGGCGATTTCTTTCCTCCTTTTGTCTCTTCTACTCACCTATTTATAGATGAATTATCTATGTATTCAGCGAGAAAAATGTTATTCAAAAATCACAGAAAGAGAGAAAATTTAAATCTATTTTTCTTGCTTTTTGTAGAAATATTTGGGACGTACATCTCAATATTAATCACAGAAAGAAAGAAAATTTAAATATATTTTTCTTGCTGTTTGTAGAAATATTTGGGACGTACATCTCAATATTACTTTGAAATCACTCGCTACTTTGAAACCCCAAAAGAGTAGAGGAAGTTTTCAAAGCCAGCAAGTAGAAATAGCTAAGGAGATGGTGCAAAAGAGGGAACGTTGGATAATTTTTATTTCAATTCATCAGTGTTGAAGAAGACATCCATCATGTTCTATATGTAGAAATAGATTTGTTAATCAACTTTGAAACTACTCTCATCAAAATATAATAAATCTGATACTGCTACAACGTCAACAAGTCTTTAACCCACTATGTGGGGTCTGCTACATAAATCTAATACTAAATTATTCTATGGATGATGCCTACCTAATTGAAATAAAAATAGCTTAATAAGAGAATGCAGCTTAATTTCATTAACTTATTTGATTCAATCTAGACTTTGTTCCAGTCAGTGCATGCTACTTAAATCAGTGCATGCTACTTGAACAATGTCTGTTATTTAGAATAATAAATGTTGATGATGTGCTATACTTTATTTATGTAGGCCGGCGGATGCTAGGGATTCTCTTGTATCTAAACTTTAATTTTCTACATGCATACCAACTTGTAGATGCATGAAAAGGTATATTTCACTTTTTAAAATTTAAATGGTGTTTTTTTTTATATGATATGAAAGCTTTGGTGTTATAAATGTAAAAAAGCAAAATTTAGGTGCTAGATATACAAGTACATACGAATTGGGGGACTATGTATGTAAATTCCCCTTGTTTTATGCCTGCTCGTAAGCTTATAGTATATCGACCTATAGTCATTTCTTTGGTTTGTTATATTGTCTCCTTTTGGCCCAAATGACTATTTTCCCTTTATAATCTTTGCTTTGAGTAATATCTAACTGCTTTTATTTTACATTTTATCTTTCTCTTGTAGATTTTTTGGTTTCCTCAGCTGTTGCTGAGTTCAAAGGTCCGGTGATCTTTGGGGTGGTACGGCTGGCTCAAGTGAACATGCAATTGGCTAGAATTGAAGCAAGCTTCAGTGGATTGTCTCCTGGTAAGCACAGTTGGTCTATAAATGAGTATGGGGATTTGACTAGAGGAGCAGAAAGCACAGGCAAAACATTTAATCCTGCAAATAATTTATCAGAAAAGGTGAGCTCATATACCATCCATAATACTTTGCCTTTACTAGACTAATTTGCATTATACTGGATACTTTTACGAATGCCAATTTTTTTTAGTTCGAGTAATATGTCAAAAGAGTCCCTTGAATATTTACATGGGACGATTTAATAGTCTCAGAATATATAAAAGTATCAAATTAGTCATCGTAGTCCTTAAATATGGGCTGAAATAGTCCCCATAAATGATTATTTTAACCCCTATTAAAAAAAATCTAGATACTAAATTGGGACTTTTATCGGCTCCGAGACTTAAATGGCTCCCTGCAAAGAATCGGGGATCATTTTGACAGTTTTCTCTCTTTTTCATTCAATGTATAACATTAATTCATCTTGAAATGCAAAATGCTTTCTTG